GGCAGTCAATTATCACGGTGCATTCAATTATCACCTTTCGGCGGAGAGGTTTGGATGATGCGCGGGTCTGTTTTTCCGTATTCCGTTGGAGCAGGACCTTTGCCTGGGGCATACGGTGGGTTTACAGGCTTCTCAACGGCTTTCTCGTCCTTTTTCCCGAGCTCCTGAAGTAGTGGCTTGAGCGTCTTTACGAGGTGATTAGCCGAAGGTCGAGCCTCGGGCGTGGGGTTCCATGACTCTTCGAAAAGTGACCAGAGCGCATCTTTGCCCGAATATTCTTCGAGCTTGGGGTGATCCTCTCGCTTGGGAGTTTTGCCTAAGGCAACCAGCTGGATGATCTTGGGACCCTTCGTCTTGGCACCAAATGGTGGGACGTCGGTCAATATCTATCATATATGCGTGTTAGTTGAGTGTTGCACTATATGTTATCGACTATTACTTCAAGCGATGTCATGCCCCTGTGATGTAATCTAATCAGAACTGCAGTCATCGGAGTATGTTGTAAGACTTACCATGAATAGACGTCGGTGCCGTGTGAAAGGTGTGCGTCATCCTGCATTAACTCAGGCCCCTGATTCCAACGTAGAGTTTGATAAGAGCACCAGCTTACTGATCGACCCCACTTACCATATATCGATACTCTGTATTATCACCTGTGAAGCTTTCATGGGAGTCTTTCAGAACCTGCGCAAACACAAACGTATCAGAGGCTATCCGGATTGAAGTTCAATTGATCGTGAATGGCACCTTGGCGTGACCAAAACCGGATATCACGGCGCGTCCGCTATCTTTGATCAGGACATTCGAGATGTTGAGCGCACTATGGACAATCCCTCGACCACCTTGAGGCAGATCATCAGCTTCATGCAGGTACTTAAGACCGCGTGCGACATCGAGAACCTAAAATTATAGTTGTTTACTTTAGCTTTGGCCCAAAACACCTAGAAACAACCTACTATCCGTAGCCTAGCGCTGGGAGGTGCTTGGTTGTACTTGGTTAAATATGATTTCTTTCCGGCCGTTAGTAAGTCTCATTTAGTTCGGGTTGGTTATAGACTTACAGCATCCCGATTTTGCAGATACGGCGATACCAGATACCTACGTGAGAATGGTCAATACGTGCGACCTCTTAATCGTGCCACTATACTCGCATCTGAAACTCTCCTGGGGCCGCTGGAGATGGCTCTACGCCCATCCCATAGAACCGTAACATCGCGTCGTGTTGCAAAGAGGACCAATTAAGTGCCTGACGAGCGAACCTCTGTAAGATGATGGTGAGTATAAGTTTTAGGTCCAGTTCGTAGCTCCTACCTCGTGCGTCTTCTTGGCAGTAGCTTCATCCACACGGTGCCGCAGCTTCTTGATGGCGATCTTTTCTCCTGTAAAATACTCTCCTAAGAATACGTCGTAGCTGGAGCCTTGATAGATTGCGTGTTGACCAACGGCGACGAAGTCCTTGCCGAGCAGTGTTTCTGGAGGGAGGGTTTGTCCCGTAAGCCTCGCAACTATGGTAAGCGCTCGTTTGGCGTCTTGGTGAGGCTGAGCTACAGTGGGGTCCCCGATAATCTATTCATGCGTGTAGAACATCTAGTATCTGTCTGTAAATGGTTGACTTAATTACCTTGAGATTTCGGTCAATGGATTGTTGTGCGCGAGTCGCTAAACTACCCGAAGACTGCGGTGTTTGCGCTATAACAGCTTCAAGCTCTGCCATATTAGTCTGGTCTTCCAGTCGAGCATTCAAAAGCTCTTCTCTACTCTCGATCGACTCCGAGCTGGGCCCCTGATAATATGTAATTTAGCATCGCGCTCGGCAAAGATTGCGCATAGTGGAAAGATTTACCTGCATCACCGTACGAAGTTGTAGGAGGCCGTCGAACGCATTATTGATTGTAGCTTCTAATTGTGCCAGGCCACCTTGCTCCTGGAGCACGGTTTCCCATTTCGCTTTTGCCTCGAGGTCCTCCGATACGGACTGGAATATTCTACGTGAGAGCTCGTCAGTCAGTCCGACCGGGTTTCAGGAAACGGTTTGCACCTACCTAGATACCCTGAGCAAGGTATCGGACACATCGCCACCCGATTGTAGGTATTTAACAGTTTCTTCAAGCACTAATACAGCTTGTCCTTTTAGTACTTGAAGCTGGTTTCTAATCATAATACGGTCAATGTCTGATGACATAGTGACCGAGCCAAATGCGCTGGAAGTATTTACTTTGATAATGTTACATTTTCTTGACTTGCAAGAAATGCTCTGAAAGCCTCCAACGCATTGGATATTGATTCTGGATTACCAGTAGCATGCGCTATCTTTGTTGCTACCTCGGCGAATGTAGCTGCTTGAGCCTGCGCGGTTGTGTAGGGCGGTGGCGAGTCAATGTCCATAGCAGGTTATCACGAAGCTAGAGTCGTGTGGTTTGAAGAGGCTGTGGGAGAATAATCGACTGGCCGAGAAGGTTGGAACGCAATTTCTGCCTGACCGACTAGTTTTAAATGTGAAGGACACGGCGCGATGACATCAAGAAATAGCGCTCGAGGGCTATAGAAGCTGCCCACGGAGTACCGATCCATGCGTAAAGAATCAGCATAGCGGACCAGCAAGTGAGGTAAGCGGTGAGATCAGAACACGACCTTTCAACGTGGTCGAACACTACAGAAAAGGGCCGTGCCAGAGCAACGTGTGACCCTGTATTTGGAAGCAAGTATCCAGGCCTAGACCATGGATACAGTGGACCGGAAGACAACCTTGCTGCCCTTGCTGACGCTACATAGTTAGAGGTAGTGGGAAGCGTAGGTGATTCCAGATTTGTAAATACTAGTGACGTCGACTCCACACTTATCAAGACTATTAGTTTGTGATTCGCGCCTGATCGGCCGAAGTGAAGTGGCTACGTGCCTTTGTATGGCTCTGGAGGTTGACAACCATACAAAGCAAGTCACCGAGATTCGAGAAGCTGGATACCGTAGCTGCCAACCATAAGTGAATTAGCTATCCAGTATACCCCGCATCGTCTATTTGTGAAATAAACCAAGTAACCATTGCATAATAACCATTTCAGGACATATGTCCGTCGGCCGGCCAATGAACGCTCGGCAATGTGTCGCATGCTGCGCCGACAGCCGTTCGATTCGTGCTCCTGTTTACCGTATGACATGGAAAGGCTATTCGCCCGTTGGATGTTATCGAGTGCCACACACAAATACCCAGTTGAACTTGATCTGTCGCTGATGAGCAACCTATAGGCACGAGGTTTGCTGTAGATCCGAATAAGTAGTTGAATATAATACTATGAGATGCCCCGTAGAAAGTAAGGCAAAAGGCTCCCGTACCTTCCGATCTCAACGGTTTTCCCGGCTGTTTTTTGTCTAGAAAGAGTGTTTGAAAAGAGCGGTCTGGATTCATGCGCTACAAAGTTGGCTATGTGCACTCTTTTTTGGATGTCAATTATGTGTTTGGCCTCGGTTATAGAAGAGGGAGTGACCAAGTTGTTAGTTTCAACAGATTGTACGACAGTTATGGGAACAGGTCCGAAGATGCAGATAGATAACTCACCGCCTTGGATCATAAATCAAGTGCTTTCATGAACGACACATTGTAGCGACACACCCATACGCGCTAAGCTTTTTCGAACTAAATGTCAGGGCTCGCCAAGAATCCGCATGGCGCGTATGCACTGGCCATCAGTTAAGTATGTCGCTAGCATACCTTCGATGAATCACCGAGTTGGCTTCCTAGGGTTTGAGCTAGCATTGCCAACGGGAATAGCTATTTGTCTTTCCCAAGCTACCAGTGTCATCGAGCCTATTTAACACCAAACTCCCTAGAAATAAGGAATAAGGCATCTCAGTATCTCTAAAGCGGCCATACCACCGGTCAGCATTAACGCTAAGGGCGGGGTGTCGTATTCACTACGTTCTCAGCCAAACCCGTCGTCAGATGAGTGAGCTACATCCGTCGATATATCAAAGTCTTTGCTTCCACTCTACAGGTTGGCTAGACTTCCCAAGAATCAAAGCACGTTCTAGTATCCTCAAATCTATGAAAATAACTCCGAGCGAGGCTGTATTTAGATAGGTCAATAACAGCCAACTGAACTTAGCAGCACGTAAATTATTAGTATAAGATTCCCAGAATCCCGTAATTTCTAGTCTCATAAATTTAACGCAGCTTTGTATCAGAGTGAGTTTAACGTAGCGTAGAAGCTGACAAGCGCAGCGCAGAACCTCGTGGAGCAGCAAGATGGAGCTAATATTCACGAGGTAGAATCTGTAAGCGCGAGTTTCTGGAAACGAGTAGATGCATCCCGGTTATACCAAGTTACAACGGTGAGAAACCCCTAGCAAAGCGGAGCTTGATATTTCAACTTGAATACAGAAGCTCAGTTCATCCGGCCTCAGGGAGTAGGTGAACTGAGGCAAGCAGTAGGGCTGATTAAACAGTAGTAGGATTGCAGTGCTAAGAGA